TTTTAAAAGTTCCGACAATCAGCTATGCTGTGAATATAAAGAATATCAACAACCTCAGAGAGGACCAAGGACTCTTCGTTTTCACCCTGAACTACAAGTATTCTCCTTTTATTGGAACTGGAAGCAAATGCTGTTTTGGGGTAAAAACATCGTAAAATGTTGGCAGGACGCTGCAAACAGCCGTAAATGCAGACCAGTTGCTGAGCTCTTGAAATGCCGTCATTTGATCATGGGGGACTCAACTGCCAGGACTTCAGAACTGGATTGTAAGTACCCCTGGAGAGACTTGTTCTGGGAAGATGTTTGCTTCTCATCCATGAAGCTTCTTCAGCTCTGACTGGATGGTGGGGAATGGAAGTCAGAGCTGAAGAAGCTTCTTGGATGAGAAGCGAAACGTCTTCAAAGAAAAACCAGAAAGTCCAGTGGCCTCTTGAAAAAGCATCTTTGGGGACAACCGTGACCTCAATCTCCAGAGACATTTAGAGAGGTAAAACATCCCTTTGAATGATCACTAAATGTCCTTTTGCTAAAGGACCTGTAGTTTGGGGTGGGTGGGTGGGTTTCTGAGTAGGCAGCCCCTTGCCTCGGCAACCATGCTGTGTGCCCCTGCCCCACCCCGTATTCCAAAGCATTTGTCCAAAAGACCCCAGAGGCCCTGCTTCAAACAACAGAAAAGCCTGTTGGCGCTTGTACTATTTTAATCAAAAAGATAATACTTTGAAAATAATTCTCCACGGATTGACAGCACGACTTACGACCCCAAAATTTATGTTGCCGAGCAAGAGCATTGTTCAATCAATTTTGCCCACCTTTTAGGACCCTTCCTTGTCACCGGGGTTAAGTTAGTAACAAGGTCATTAAGCGAATCTTGGTCGTCGTCGCCCTTGACTTTGCTCGCCAGAAGGTCGCGAAAGTGGAATCACGTGACCTGGGGACACTGCAACCGTCATAAACATGAGTCAGTTGCCAAGCAACCGAATTTCGATCACGCGACCCTGAAAAAACGGTCATCAGTCATTCTTTTTCAGTGCCGTTGTAACTTCGAACAGTCAGTAAAAGAAGTGTTATAAATTGAGGATTATTTGTATCCAATAATTGCTAGGGTCAATCTTGAGACTCGTCAAACGGTCATCCAGGTTTGGGTGGTTTCTCGGCTTGAGAACAAGGACGGAACAAGGAACAACCAACAAGGAAGACTGCGTAGCGGATGCCATTCCTTCTTGACTGAAACCCGAGAAACCGACAGCTAACCACGATGAGGACCCGGATTGTTGGGAGGGAGGGGCAATAGGCTGACTCTGTAAACCCCTTAGAGAGAGCTGCAAAGCACTGAGAAGCGGTATATACCATATTTTTCAGAGTATAACACACACTGGAGTATAAGATGCACCAAGGTTTTGAAGAATCAAATAAAAAATATATATTTTTTTGCACTCTGCAAACTTTCCAAAAATGGGACACGAATAGCCTTTAGGAGGCTTGTAGAGTGCTCCCGGGGGGGGGGGGAACGGCCCATTTTTCGCAAAACAGGTCCATTTTCTATCAAAAAAATTGCATGCATAGCCTTTAGGAGGTCTATGGAGTGCTCCTGGGGCTGCGGGATGGGGTGGGGCCAAAATTGAGCAAAAAATGGCCCATTTTTTACTCATTTCTGCCCTCTGCAACCCCCAGGAGCACTCTGAAAGCCTCCTACAGACTCTACACAGCCATTTTGGTGAAGGGTGCGGGGTTTCGGGAGGGAAAAAATCAGTGGTGGGTTTCAAAAATTTTTCGAACCTACTCTGTGGGTGTGGCCTCNTTTCTAGAGTCTCCACATCTTTTCTACATCGTGGTGACCAAAACTGAATGCAGTATTCCAAGTGTGGCCTTACCAAGGCATTATAAAGTGGTATTCACAGTTCACGTGATCTTGATTCTATCCCTCTGTTAATGCAGCCTAGAACTGTGTGGGCTTTTTTGGCAGCTGCTGCTCACTGCTGGCTCATATTTCAATGGTTGTCCATTTAAAAAATCCCTCTGACAGTTACTACTATTGAGCAAGGTACCAAATTTTTCATTGATTATTCCATGGAAACCCAGGAATCTCTGTTTTTTACTCACCACACAAATTTCCAACTTTCTCCTCTTCCTCCAGGAACGACCTTGGGAAAATCCCTCCGCTGTCAGACGAGTCCCGCTCTGCCTTGGCTGAGGGAACAGCCGCTGTGGTCCCCTGCAATGGCAGACAGGATCAAAACATGAAATGCAACTTAGGAACAGGGAAGGCAAGGAAATGAGTTTGCCCCATCACCTCAGCCTGTCCCACACATTCAGGTAGGGAAGGCTGTGCGCCCTTGCGTGAGGGATACAGGGAATTCGCTTCCCCCCCCCCTAATTAACAAGCCTAACCTCCCCATCTTGGAATTCGTCTTCTGTTGGAATGTTTAGAAAGTGGTTTTAGAATTTATTTATTTTTTTAAATCCTAAATTATTCTGATTTTAATGTTAAATGTTATTGATGGAATTGTACACTGCCTAGAGCCCCACCCTGAGGGAGATGAGCAATTAAGAAGAATGGAATGGAATAAGAAAGAATGGGGAAAGAATTGATTAACAACTATCAGGAAATTTCTGCCCCGCGCATGGAACCATCCCGTCTCCCTCCCACCCCGGCCCAACAAGCAGGAAAGGTTAGGAACCATTGTTGTAGGGCAGGGATGTCAAACTGGATTTCTTAGAGGGCTGGATCGGCATTGTAGTTCTCTTCCACGGGCTGGCAGGGGGGGTGGGGATGGGGAGACAGGACGGACGCCTCCTACAGCATCCAGCCGGCCAAAAGGCCCCCACCCCCCTGAACCCCGTTTTCGTCCTGGACGGTCTCCTGCGACACTGTCCCGGCCGAAAACGGACCCCATGGGGCCTCCACGCAGCCTGTTTTGGGCTGGCAGAATGCTGCTGGAGGCCGGGGAGGCCGAAAATGGCCTACACAGAGGCACCACGGGCAGGTCCTTTCCAGGTCAATCCCGCAGGCCCGATTTAAGCCCCCCATGGCTGGATCTTTTCTTTTGGGTCTTTGGCCTGCCACACTGTCTATTATTCTGCTCCCATTTTCTCACAATAGAAAATGCAAAAACTCTGATTTACTTTTGGATGCTATATGGAACCCTGACAAGGGATTTACCTGTTGTTCCCATCTCAAAGACTCTCTTTGCATCCAGAGGAAATCCTCGGCCAGAGCCACCGCCTGGGTGCAGCAAGCAGGGCCCCTCTCCCGTACCCAGCTCTGGATCTCCGGAGGCAGGACGGTCAGGAACTGTTCCAGAATCAGCAGCTCCAGGATCTGCTCCTTGGAGTGCCTCTCCACCTTCAGCCACTGACGGCACAGCGCCTGGAGCCGGTTGTAAACCCCGCGGGGCCCCTCCGCTTCCTGGTAGCGGAAACGCCGGAAGTGCTGGCGTTGCTTCTCCCGGCTCAGGGCATCCCAGTGCAAGATGGCTGCTTTCACTTTCCCGTAATCCTGCCGGTCTCGAGACTCCAGGTTACTGAAAGCTTGTTCGGCTTCTCCGCGGAGGGCAGGCCAAAGCCGGGCTGCCCACTCTTTCCGGGGCCACCGACAGGCCTCAGCCACTTGTTCGAAGGAGGCCAGGAAACCCTTGGGGTCGTCCCAGGGGGTGGGCTCCTCTGGAGCCTGGCTGCCCCACCAGCCGGAGTGCAGAGAGCCTGCGGTTATGATCAGGTCCTGCCAGTGTTGGGGTAACTCCGCATCTGTCCGTAGCATCTCCCCTCCCAGTTTCTTGGGGAAAAATTCCCACATGCGTTTCGCCTGGACCTCACTCAAGGCGCTCAATGCGGCCATCGCCTTCTGCCTCTTCTCCTAAATGCAGAAAGGAGACACTTGCAAACACGTCTGGTTAATCTGTGGATTTGTCCAAGGAAGAAACTTTTCTTTCCCAAACTGGCTCGGTCAGTGAAGTAATTGTTTTTTCCAAAAGGTTGACGTTTTTGTTCCCCTACAGGACAGAGAAGATGGGAGAAATTGGGAAAAAGACAAGCCAACAATTAGCTTTTTAATCATGTTGTCATCAGAGTTGGAAGGGATCATGGAGGTCTTCTAATCCAACCCCCAGCTCAAGCAAGAGTCCCTATATTGTACATTTCTGAGTGCCCCTGCAGATTGGTCCCTTGTCCAAAAGCAAACAAATCCTTGCATATGAAAAGCAAATCTGTCAAGGGTCGGGGAAAGGTATCCTTAGAGATGAGAACATGGGAAGAGTGAACAAGAAGGATGGCGAGGGATTTAGCAATAGCAGTTAGACTTATATACCGCTTCATAGGGCNCCCCCCCCCCCCTCTTTTCTTGGCAAGTTTTTTTTCCCCAAAACTGGTTTATCTCCTTCCTGGGGCTGCGAGAAAGTTTCCGGCCTGGCTTTCATGCCTAAGCATCTATAATTCACGGGCTCGCTGTTTCGAACCCGACACCAGACTGGCTCTCAGGCTCATCTGAATAGTCTCCCCTTAATTCCCTCGAGAGATTTCCCAACAGACCAACCTTCCTTGGCTTGAATTAAATTCTTTTGGCCCTGATATAAATCAACTTTTCTTGGCTTGATCCGAGAGAACCACCACGATTGTCCGCATTCATCAACGTTCAGGGAGGGTCTGGTGTGCCTTACACATTTCATTAAGAAACAGGAATTGTTTTATTCCGCTGAATTAAATGGAACAAAATGATTTCTTCAATTAAGCGTCATAAAAAAAATAAAAAACCACATTTTGCTCGATGTAAGAACATCGCCCTTCATTACGCTTAGCAAAATCCCTATTTTACGACCCAAATACTTTTAAATCCTAAAATGTGTTTGCGTAAACGGGAACTCTCCAGGCTCCCTCTGAACGAACTTGCAGAATTTGCATTTTGCACCTCAGCAAGCAAAAACAAAACGATTTTTATTTTTATTTAAAAAAGAAGAGAGACCTCTAGAGACACATCCCAAATGTGAGGTGGTTGGTTTTTGTTTTTTTAATTTTTATTTGAAAAAAGGAGAGAGAGAAAATAATTATGATTCTTTTTTTTCTTCCTTTTCGGACTCCAGACTTTTTCAAGTATTACCCTGCTCTTTTGATTGCTCCCCAGGCTTCCTTCCTCCCCGCAGCGCCCCCCCCGCCCCGCCCCCAGGAAGCTTCAGCGGAGGGGAGAGGAAAAGTCTCTGAGCATAGGATGATTTCTGGGGTTGAACCCCGAGGAGAGGATCATGGTTGCCAACGGAGGGGGTCATTTCCGTTCCCCCCTGGGGCTCGGAGAGGAACGGGAGGGCAGAATTCTGAGGTCCCCCTCCGGTGCCACCCCTCCTACAATCTCGGCTGGTCCCAAGAGAGGACACGAACCACAGGAGTCTCGGAGAAGTCAGTCGCGTGGCCCGGAAGGGCCTGCCCCACCCAAGTGAGGGTCCACAGGACCAACCTCCTCCTGCAGGGTCCCTCAGTCGTGGCTGGCCTCGCTAAGCGGCATGTGCCGGATGGTGTGGAAAATCCAGTCCATCTTGGTCGTCCACCCGCCGTGGTGGGCCTCGTTCATCTGCTTGGTGAAGTACTCCAGGGCCTCCTGCTCCGTCTTGTCCAGCGCCAGCGTCTTCCGCAGGTAGGCCACGTCGTCGAAGGACTGCAGCTCGGGGAGCCCACTGCCCAGCATCATGGAGAAGAGGTTGATGAGCAGGTTGGCGTGCTGGCGGATGGTCAGGTAGGCCTTGTAGCACACCTCCTGGAACCTGCAAGGACGAGGAGGAAGAGATGGTTGAGGAAGAAAAAAAGGGGAGGACGACGCTCCCCGAGAGAAGATGACACCTCCAGCCTACCCGTAGGATGGGATGCCCAACCGCAGAACTACCTCTGGAAAGTGTTGTGGCCCGCCAGCGGGCAGCAGAATCGGAGAGTGAGGAGGTTGGGGAGGAATCTGGGCCAGTCCTGGAGTCTGGGGACGAGGGCTCTGCGTCAGAGGCAGAGAGGGGGCCAGAGCCGTCTGACAGTTATCAGCTGCCTTCAGAGTCGGAGATCAGTGAGGCAGAAGAACAGCTGGAGCCTGTTCCCAGTGTGCGCATGGGCAGAGTGGCCAGACGAAGGGAACGGCTGAAGGACAGGGGTCGACTTGGGAGGAAGGCCGCAGGTGGACGGCGAATGGCCCCTCCCAGAGGGAGTGAAAGAGGAGCGACAGGGGAGTGGAGTTTGCAGGAGGCCACGAGACCATGCCTGCGTTCTTGCCAAGTGTCTCCAAGCCCGAGAAAGGGGGGAATTGGGGGCTCTCTTGAAAGACGGAGGGAGAGGGAAGACTTTGCCGGAGAGGAATTCCCTGTCAATGAAACAAAAGGGGCTTATCGGGGCGAGGACTCGGCTTCGTGCTGCTGGGGAAGCCTCGGTCACAACGGAAAGTCCTCCAGATGTTCAGGAACACACACACACACAGACATACACACAGACACACACACACACAGACATTCTGGTACCCAGGATTACAGGTAGTCCTCGACCTACGACCCAAATTGAGCCCAGCATTTCCATTGCTAAGCGAGACAGTTAGGTTTTGCCCCATTTTACGTCTTTCTTGCCACGGTTGTTAAGTGAATCATCGCTGAGTCACACGGTTGGTAAGTGAATCCAGATTCCCCCTGGACTTTGCTCATGAGAAGGTCATTCACAGTTTCAGCGGCCCTGGGAAAAGGGACCTATGACCGTTTTATCGGTCTTACGACCGTTGGCCGCATCACATGAATCAAAATTCAGAGGTTTGGCAACTGACTCTTATTTATGACCGGGGGGGAGAGTGTCACGTAATCCCCTTTTTGCGACCTTCCGACGAGCAAAGTCAGTGGGGAAAAACGGATTCGCTTAAGGACGGTGTGACTCACTGAACAACTGCAGTGATTCACTTAATAATGGTGGCAAGAAAGGTCGTAAAAACGGGGCGATACTCAACCTAACACTGTGTCTCGCTTAGTAGCAGATATTTTGTGCTCCATTGAGGTCATAAGTCAAGGAGGGCTTCCTGTGGCTGTAAACCAGGATTAAGCCAGGAATCCTCAAGATCACAACTTCATTTTGAGGAGGTGGGGGGGAATGGGAAGGCCTGGGGTGGGGGGGAAATAGATAGGGCCATGTTCTGGGGGGTCTTCTGACCTAGGCTTTCTGAGAAAGCATGAATCACAAACTTAGTCCCAAAAACCCTCTTTTTATTTCAACGTCTGTGAATTATGGTCATTCACAGCCCATAATAAGTCACAAATAGTTTGTAAAGAGTCCTGCAGAAGTCTGCCAAAGTCTTTCAAGGCAAGGCTGAGAAACACCCACCTTTCTCTCCCTTGAAACGCTGCCGGAGCCTTAATGGCCAATTTGTTTTGCAAGGGCCAAACGGAGCACAGAGTCAAACGGAGCTTCAGAGTTTGAACCGACCAAAACGAACAAAATGTGCTCCCTGCAAAGGCTCACGTCCCGTTCGCTCCGCTTTTATGTCTTATGGGAGGGGCCAATCACCTCCATGCCTTACTCCCGAGTCACCCGTTTTGTCTTAACTGTTCTTGCCTTCTGGCAGCTCTGTGCATGCGCGCACTGGGAACAGGCTCACACTGTTCTTCTGCCTCGCTGGTATCAGACTCCGGAGGCAGCAAATAATTCCCAGATGGCCCCTCTGCCTCCGACGCAGAGCCCTCATCCGAGCCTCCCCCAGACTCCAGGACTGGCCCATGTCCCTCCCCAACCTCCTTGCTCTCCGACTCGGCTGCCAGCTCCGCGGCGGACCACAACAGGGGGAGCTGCATTGCTCAGAGAGGATCTGGGGAGGGGGAACGAAGGGGAGAGGGAATTGGGGGAGGGATGGGTGACCTGCTTGACCAAGACACACACAGACACACCCCGTGCCCACCTCTCGAATTCTTTGGTTTTGGTGCATTCCTGGACCCCTTTGCTGATGACGATGAGGAAGTCCTGGGTGAGGACGAAGGGAACTCGCTCTCGCTTGTAGCCGAATTTCTTCTTCTTGTGGTCCAGGAAGTGCCCGAAGTCGATGTGGAAGAGCTGCAGAGAGAGAGAGAGAGAGAGAGAGAGAGAGACGGAAGGGTGGGCAAAGGGGGTTCGGCTGGGGGCGGGGGCCTTCCAAGCCCCCCCTCCCTCCTCACAGGGCTGCGGAGGGGACGCACCCACCTGCCCGTCGTCCTTGACCATGATGTTGCTGTTGTGACGGTCACCGATGCCCAGGATGAAGGTGGCCACGCAGTAGCCGGCGCAAGAGCGTGTGAAGAGGTCGATGGCCGCGTCGTACCTGGACCGGCAGGGGGGAAAACGGTCCGCCGGGCCAAGGGCGGGGGGGGGGGGGGCTCTCCGTCCTCCAGGTCACGGTCACCCCAAAAGGCAACCGGACTCTTCTTGACTTTTTACTTAAATTTCACTTCTCATCCAAGAAGCTCAGAAGAAGAAGAACAGCTGCAGGATTTGGACTGTGGGGTGGGGGGTGTGGGATAGCCGTGTTCCAGTATTTGAGGGGCTACCCCAAAGAAGAGGGGGGTCAGCTTATTATCCAA